TGAGTTATCGAATAACCCTGCTATACGTGCGTGGATATTTCGGACCGACTAGAAGTTAAATTTTGGTAACCGTGGCTGAGTTCTGTTTGAAAACTGATCAATTTCCGGCATTTTCGAACATTGAAAATAACTTACGAAATGTAACTCGGCAATTGGTACACAGCCCAAGAAGTATTTCTCGATTAATTTTTCGAAGGAACGTATCAGCTTTTGTAAAAAACGCATTTGATCGTCGATTTGGCGTAACTGGTAGCTCGCCCACACATGCTAGATAGGGGAAAATTTTCCCAACCTGTTAGCGGTGTTAGTATGTGGGGCGAGCTATTAGTTATGTCAAATCGACGATAAAATGCGTTGTTTACAAAAGCTGATATGTCCTTCCGAAAAGTAATCGAGATTTGTAGTTATCATTCAGGCAAGGAGCGCTTGCGCCATCGAGGCGACGCCGCTACCAGCAGCCAATGATCTCGACGGGAACGACGTGCAAAGTTCGAGGTGCAAAACTCCAACTCTGCGCGCTTGACAGGAACCGCCTTCCTACTGCTGCTACTGCTGCTTCTACCTGCTTACCCGCCGTCCGAAGCGAAAATGAGTTGAGGCACATTAGCAGCGCTGTTTTATAACTTTTCTGATTCAAGCAGCACGATGTACAACCAAATTGTACTTGATTATGAAGACTGGGTTTGGGGAGAACGTTTATTTCATGAAAACAGTGATAAAATTATCACTTTTTATTTGACCATTTTTTTGACGTAGGACTACGTCTTTGATTTCTATATGGGGGTACACTTTGTGAAAACCGAAAATGGAACATGTAACAAATTAAGAAAGATTTTGAACGTTAATAACTCAGCAATCGATCAGAAATATGGCTACGCATTGATAAAAATGCTTCCAAATGTTGATTTTCAACAAGAAACTATTGAAAAACTGGTAAATGTTCAGCATTGTCCAAAAGCGTCGAATTAACTAACAAATCCACCAATTACCTACATGCATATGCTGCTTTCCCAGCACAGTCGTCAGAGAGTAGTAAGTAGACGAAACAAGTCGAAGTGGCATTCGTCTCCGATCCTCGGGCGCGTGCGAATAGGGAGGATGGAATTGCGTAATATTTTGCACACTCATTACCATGTTCAGAACCAAACGCAAATTCTTCGAGGTTAAATCATCACCAACATTGGAAACAAAGCGGCTCTTTTCAGGGCCACCAAGCTTATTACAGAAAAGAGTAGGAATAGAATTCATCTACCTGTTTGTCCATATTCAGAACCACCGACACACAAAATGCTCATGTAATCAAACTGGAAGCAGGGATACAAATTATTTTGATCAACCTTGATCAACTTTGAATCGCCACGGCCGGATATTTTCGATGGAAGAAGCAACAATCTAGCATCTAATTCGACGAAGACGTCAGGAAACATTTCTGGATCAACAATAGAATAGGGCCCATCAGCATTTGTAAACAAACCGTTCCAAAGCCTCACAAATCGAAGGCCGCTCACACAAACCAACACCAACATCTTGTAGGTAGAAGTTTCCCCTATCCGATGATGGTGTTGGTTTGTGTGGGTGGCCTTCGCTTTGTGAGTAAACGGTTTGTGTACAAATGCTGATGGGCTCTTTTCTATTGTTGATCCAGATTTGTGAAGCCGAGTTATTTACGAAAGAGAGTGTCGATGAAGAGAATCGATCAATGTAGATAGGACCTATTGAAAAGTGATGCGAGATTTGTTTTCCATACTGAGCTCCAAGCAAACCAAAAGAATAAACGAAGATTTTTTCCTTTAAATATATGAATTGAACTACCAATAGAAAAATAAGAAGATTTTTGTGATATGAATTTTGACTGAAAGAAACGATTTTTTGTCGACCAATTTTTGCGTGTTCCAGTCTTTATGATAAGTTTTTTGGAAAAGCGGAAGAAATGTTGTCTCGTTTACCCCCTGAAGTAAAAGTACATATATATGGGGACTTTAACCAACGCAATGTTGACTTTATTTCTGATATGGACAATGAGAGCATCTTACTTCCAGTCGTTGAGGAAAATGAAACACTCCATTTCATTTTTGACAAAATTGCGAATTTGAAAAATCCACAAAATTGTTATTTAGGCCTTAATTATTAAATTAATTAACAATAATTAATTTCTCCAGACGAAGTACAGAAAGTTCTCGATGAGCTTGATTCAAAGAAAGGACCCGGAACAGACAGCTTGCCTCCTGTGTTTTTGAAGAACTGCGCCGCTACGCTGGCGACGCCCATCGCTGCTGTTTTCAACCGTTCGCTCCAAGACAGAACGTTCCCAAATGCATGGAAAATGGCGTCCATAGTACCGATTCATAAATCCGGAAGCTACAAGTGTGTCACCAATTATCGAGGTGTATCCATACTTTGTAGTCTCAGTAAGGTATTTGAGAAACTGATCCACACCGTTTTGTACAGAGCTGCTGCACCGATCATCTCCAACAGTCAACACGGCTTTATGAAGCATCGTTCAACAACATCGAACTTAATGTGTTATGTATCAGCGATATCCCGTAGCTTAGAATCGAAGCAACAAGTGGATTCGGTTTATGTTGATTTTGCGAAAGCGTTTGATACAGTACGGCACAATCTCATCGCTGCCAAAATGAACCACATTGGATTTCCGACATGGATCACTGAATGGCTCTATTCATACCTGTCTAATCGCAATGCTTTCGTGATGGTGAATTCCGCACGCTCCAGGACTTTCAACATACCGTCTGGCGTGCCACAAGGCAGTGTTCTCGGTCCTCTTATTTTTATCATTTATGTTAATGACCTGTGTGACATGCTCTCATCATCCAAACTTTATTTTGCCGATGATCTAAAATTTTTCCGTGTGATTGTTTCTCCCACTGACTGTGTGGGTCGTTGCAAGAAGATATACATCGTGTGATAGTCTGGTGCGGTGACAACGGCATGCGCGTAAACAGCAAAAAGTGCAAAATAATATCCTTCACTCGCTGCAACAACGTTATTCACCATCAATATTACATGGGGCCGGATTCTCTAGAAAGTGCAATTTCAATCTGCGATCTAGGTATTACGATCGATTCGAAGCTAAGGTTTAACGAACACATAAACATCGTAACTGCTAAAGCATATACCTACTGTGCTTGGTTTTATTCATCGTCATGCTTCTGGTTTCACCGATGTTTATTGTCTCAAGACGCTATTCTGCTCGCTGGTTCGCAGCATTTTAGAATATGCTTCCCCGGTTTGGTCTCCATTTTACGTTACGCATATCCTTGCGGTTGAAAGGATTCAGAAAAGTTTTATAAGGTTTGCATTGCGTCAGCTCCCCTGGAATGATCCAGTCAATCTTCCAAGTTATCCCGACCGATGCAAGCTGATTGATTTGGAATTCCTCTCTGCCAGGCGTCTCAAATTGCAACGACTGTTTATCTTTGACCTCATAACAGGAAACGTGGACTGTCCTGAACTTCTGGAACTGATTCCATGGAATACTCCTCCTTGACGACCCTAATAAAAAATAACCATAAACGAACGATAACCCAAATTATTGAACTATTCCATAAATGGTTTGGATGATACCCAGAACACGTCGTTAAGCAAATTAACCATACAATTTTTATTAGGGGATTCCGTAATTCCCCGTTACTTGCAATTCCATTTCACAGAACGAACTTTGGATTCAATAATTGTTTTAATTCTTGTTTGCGTTCCTTTAATGATGTTTGTAGCGAGTTTGATTTTATGTTGACCAAACATGTATTTAGTGCTAGAATAAGGCGTTCAGATTAAATTAGGTTTTAAGTAATGAGTCTGTACTACGTAGTCGAAGATGGTGATCAAAAAAAATTTAAATAAACTTTCAAATACTTATGAAGATTTCTGTGTGACTAAATCGTTAAGGTGGAATTCAGTTCAAAAAATTCAACTACATACAAACTCATACTTGCGAGTGTATGTGTGTTTAAGAGACACTACTGAATTACCCATTTTTACGTGGATTCCGGCACACAGTGAAAATTGGGAATACCATTAACAAAAACTTGAAACACTTACCTTGTTATACCGCTCACATGAATCTGAGTTTTAACCTTTTACGATTAAAAAAGCTGCCCATTTCGATTGAGGCGCGCTTTCATTTTATTTTGGGCCGCCAACGCACACCCTCTCACTACACTACACTAACACACTCCAAAAAAGCAATGTTTTGGTTCATTGCTAATTTTTTTATGTTTCACAACACTTTCCGCTCTTGTACACGGCTTCACTTTGTTGGTCTATGACTCAACTATTATAAAAACGTTAAAAAATCCGCGGCGACGAGCACAAAATCGCGAAAACTTCACCAAACGAACTTTGCGAAAATTTGGAAACGTCGAGAGCTTCCCCCCGGCGCCGTACTAGCACTTTCCTGTTGTTCAATTCTCTATGCATTGGTCTGGCTGTCAGGCTTGTTGTTTCTTTTACTCTCGCACTCTTAAAATGCAAAATGTTTTACGTCATCATCATTGCCAAACATCAGTGAGAAAGGGACAAAAAAAAAACACATGACCAGTCTTGTTTTGTTGGCACAGTCGGAGAGGGTGTGTGTGTTTATTTTCAGTTGTGCTGATTCACAAGGTTGCTAGAATCATTTCACCGAATTCAAAATAAAACATCAATTCTCAAATGAATGTTGCGTGAGGATTGCGTTAAAATTGAAAGAAATATTGATTGCGATGGCTTATTACGCGTAATAATGCATTTCTACTTCGTAAATGATAATGTCGAGTACTAACAGATATTATGACTAAATACTAAACTTGCTTTTGGCAGCACTGCCAGCTGACTAATGTATGCAAAAATTATGCTCAATTCGTGCGTAACTTCTTCGTGTTCTGGGTGCAGTTTTTAAATCAGCGATAAAAATGCCGCATTTAACGAAGGCAAAAAAGGCGGCTTTAAAACGCGAAGCTTTAAAGCGTAAAAACAGGAATCCAGTATGTGAAAGCGTGGCGATGTGTAATCCAGAACCGGAACCGGAAAGCGATGAGGAGTTTGAAGAGATTCTAAACTTTCTCTCTGAATCTGATTCAGCATGTTCGGTCAATAGTGAGGGCAGTGAATTTGAGTGTTTTCTTAAGGTTAAAGATGCCAATGTCGAGGAAGATGATGTTCAGATGATCGAAATCGGTAATGAGACCTGCGCGTTTGGTTTCGGAAGTGTATGGGAAACTTTTAATGCTTCCACATGCAGTGAGCTGCAGAACTTCTCTCTCGGGGATATTGAAAAGATGGATTTGTTTGACAATATGGAAACGATAGGCAGTGCTTTTGAATGTGTTAAAATGGCCGAGGAAAATGAAGAAAATATACGGCATGTGCATGATGATGACAGAAATGAAAAGGATGAAGGTATGTCATACATAATTCTTAATTATAGTTTTATTGTGCCGATTTCCCTGTGTTGTCAAATTACAATTAAGGAGAAACCACAATGAATGACGTTTTCCAAAATAATATGTTTTCCTGAAAACCTTGGAAGAAAAAAAATCCCGAGTACTCTCCAAAATACTTTCTCTATATTGTTCCGCAAGAACAGAGATTGAAAATTATATTTCTTTAATAATTTTACTCCTCTACAATAAGTAGCTGAATCATAATTGCGAAAAAACCATCGTTGATATTTTACCAAGATTCATGGCAAGTCCGTTCTGTAGCAGAAATCAGCAAGCTGAGGAAACGCGTCTTTAGTTTTCTTTGTACCATTTCTTATTCTTATTCAATGGGGAAATCAATATTGGACTTCTTCCAAAACTTTTGGGAACATTGTTGTCATTTCCATTGAAAATCTCTTAATTTTGACCAAAACTTAAACCAAAACTTATATAGTTAGAATATGTTTTGTTTTCGTTGAAATTAAATTCAAATCGTATACTCCAGGTTTAAATGACAACTTACCTTGCACGGAAGGATGCTGTGATTCTCTTGAGAGTTTGGTATGTAGATTTTATTTTGTAAAGTTAGGTTCTTAAATTAATTTAATGGTTGTGTTTAGACTAGCGATCGTGGCGAGTCTACTGTACATATTCCAAGTATTCCTTATTTTGGTGATCTTGACCCAATGGAAGGTTCATCTGGAACAGTGGCGTATGCTGAATGCCATACAACGGAGTTTCGTGGCATCAACGAATCTTTCGAAGTAGTTACGAATGACGTCCTTGTTTCAGCAGAACTGTTAGCTTCCTCAATTAAGCGACCGTTAATAAACAATCCGTCCATTGATACGACCAATGACAAGCCGAAGAAACCTCGAACAGCACAAAATCAACAAAACGTCATCGATACACACCAATACAGCCAAGAAGTAAAATCGGACTGGTTTATCGTAGATGGTCGAAGAATTGTTGATTGGAACTATGTTTTCAAGTGCATGTTGCAAGCTCAACGTATGCATTCCGAGACATGTCCAGGTCTGTTATGCATGTTGAATGAAAAGTACAGGTCGATGATTTCTGTAATGATTTTCAAATGTGATACATGTGAAGCCATGTACAAAGTACAAACTGAAGAACCGTCAGAAAAGCCACAGCTAAGAAGAAGCATGGTTTGGGCAACTCTGTGTTCTGGAGGCACATACAATTCAACAAAGGAACTATTGGCACTATGTAACATCCCTTTTATGCCTTTTCAAACGTTCATCACCGATGAGATGAACATGGATTACATATTGGAAGAAACAATGGAGAGTTCATTAGTTCGTTCCATACAGGACGAAAAACAGGCTGTGTATGGTATAACTTCAAATGATCAGCAAGTTCCGGTGAAATTAAGTGTAGCTCTGGATGGCAGTTGGAGTACACGAAGTTATGGAAAACGATTCACCTCGGCATCAGGCTGCGGAGTAATAGTCGGTGTGAAATCGAAAAAGATTTTATATGTGGGGTGCAGAAATAAGCGATGTTCTGTATGCAACCGTGCAGCCCGTCTCAATAAGGACAATCCTCCCGAACATCGTTGCTTTAAAAACTATAAAGGATCATCTGGTGGCATGGAGTCAGATATAATGATTGATGGATTTAAAAAGTTGATGATGGATGGTATTTGGTTGACCACTATAACAACGGATGGGGACTCGACTACCGTGGCGAAATTAAAAAATGCTATCAAGTACGGTGCATCTATTCAACATCAGCTATGTTGTAACCACGTCACCAAGAATTGCGGTAAAAAACTTCGAGAGGTAAGATATCTTTAGTTCACATAATATGATAAGAATATTTAAGAAAATATATGGAATAGGGGTAATATCGACAATTATAAATGCATGTCCATTTGCTCTTCAGATTAAATACCCTAAGGAAGTGAATGATATTGTCATAAAAAAGTTGGATAGAATCACCTTCGGTATTCGCTGTGCTATTAAGCACTGTGCTGATGAGACCGATGCTCAAGATGTAGAAGGCTTAAGATTTGATATCCGAAACGTACCAGCTCACGTCTTTGGCAATCATAACAAATGTCGTGAATATTTGTGTGCCAAAGAAACACTGGATGATGAAAACTACATTCCTCAGCTTACCAAATGTGATGTGCTATCGAAAATTCAAAAGATAGTTGATGCTGTGGCCGCAAAAGCAGAATTTCTGAACTATAATAAAACCAGCAATCTGTAAGTATATAAAAGCTGTGTGGCATATTTTGCCTCCTGGTTTTCGTGTAACAACTTGGTTTTAGAAGGATAATTTCTTATAATTGTTGATATAACATTTTTGTTCCATTTTTGCTACAACTTTCTATACACTTTTTTTTAGCGTTTTTAATTTAATTTAATTGAGTTATCTTTAACTAGCCCTAACTTATATATATAGTTTTTAAAAAGAAGTTTTTTTGTATATTCTTAGCGTTGCTTCAATGAATATCCATACATTAAACACATTTCAGGGCTGAAAATGTCTTCAGCAGGCTGTGTAAGTTCAATATGGGAAAAAGGCTGAACATTATGAGCAGAGGATCATACCAGAGGAGGGTATGGATCACCGTGTTGCATCATAATGAAGGATATAATTGGCATTATGAAGGTTTGAAAAAATTCGCCGGATGTTCTCCAGGTAAAATTTTCAACCAGTTGATTGTGTATAAGGCGAAGCTGAAAGAAGCTACCACGAAATCAAAAAGCCGGTCTGAGTATGCAAGAAAACCAGCCAAGCTGAATGAAGTCGATCGAGATTATGGTCCACAAGCGATTGAAGCAGCTGAGAGAGTTCAGAACTTTGAAAACATGGGAACTAATGTGATTCTAAGGTATCAGGTAATTATCAATTGATCCGATCATCCACTCTGTTTATGTATCATCGAATTTTGTATTTTTTTACAGCTCACCTCTGAATCTCAAGACAAAATTCATCGAGATCTCACAATTCCCGAGTTGGAGGAATTTGCTAAAGGGCGTATTCTTTCTGCATTTGTTGCTGACATTTTATGGTCAACACCGCAGACCTTGGCTAAAAAATGTGATAACATTTTGTTGACCACGAATACTTGGAACTACATTAAGCAAAACAGGACTATCATTGGACCGATTACAGAGTATCTGAAAGTGGATCATGGATACGAAATGGGAGGCAGCCGAATTTTCATTGACAAGTGTCATAGCTTTTTGTGTTGCATACCAGATGGTAGAGAATATCAATGTTTTGAATTACATTTTTATATTATTATCCTGCTTTTCAGCTGTTTCCGATACCACTGGAGAAATTCTATTGGTAAAGAAAAAAGCTGTTCAGGGATTGATCAAGGATCACGCGAGTAAAGCCACAGGAGGAATTGGATGCAAAATCAAAGACGGTGAAGTAGTTTTGGATAGGAAAACGTTTTGCGAGGCACAAACCGCACTGCATGTTTGCAACCTTGGGAAGGCTGTGTGCCTTTTCGTTAATTCGAATAATTTACACGACTTTTTTACCAAGGAAGTGGTTAAAGATGACTCTTATTTTTCTGAAAAAGTTGAGAACAAAATCGTTAAGTTTTTTGACCAATTTTTGTCACTAAAAGTTGTCGAAGATGACACTTTTATTAAATGCTGATATTTATGAATGTTTTAAGTGTGTGTATATTTTTTTTTGATGGTCTGTGTATTGATAGCTATGTATTTATTTGAGTTGATAAAAAACTACCGAATAAACTTTATGGCCGGATAAGATGCAATCTCAGTGATTTTGAAATAAAGAGTAAATATTATCTGAAAATCACATATTGAACAAGCTTATACACAAAAAAAATACCATTATTATCTGTTCTCTCATCAAACATATCAATATCGTCGAAGGAGCATTATTGAAATTGCTGCTTCTTTCGGAACTTCGGATCCACAAATTAGAGATTAGACCATAACCGAAAACTTGAAGTTGTGCTATGGTGTTCGGTGTGTCATGTAAACTAAATACTTATTCCTATTAGTTAGGACCCGTCCATTAACAACTCTATTTTAAGTTTTTTTCAACCCTTTTTTCTCTAACAAATCCGAGATATAAGTACACAGAGGGGGGTCCCGTGGCGTAGTTGGCTACACGTTTGCTTCTCAAGTGGATGGTCATGAGTTAGATTTCCATACCCCCCCCCCCCATTGGTAGCAGTACGGAAAACAAGATCGACGGAAAATAAATCAAAGGAAAAAAAGTCAGTAAATAATGCAATTTTGAAAAATAAGAAAATGCTGAACTCAATTCCCCCGATAAATAATAAACCCTTACGTAATAAGTACATGACCCCTTACATGTATGAATTTATTTGAATTTGAAGTTTACACTTGCCCTGAAGTTTTTAGAAAAAAATATAGTTAAACTTAAAACTGCAAAATTACAATACTTCCCCCCTTTATAAAGAGAAACACTAATTTACTGTATGTATTGGTACACCTGCACCAAAACCAATACATACGTTCAAATCGTTTATGCATACTTATACATACAAAGGCTAAATCCAATCTGATTTGCACCTTAAGTCCCATATGGAGAAATTAAATGTTTCACACAGCTATAGAATATTCTTTATTCGTTCATATAAATGAATGAACCAACGACTACGAATTTGATGAAATCTTTGGTTACAATCCAGCAAATTATGATAAAATTTGAAATCGATTGAACATTGTCGATTGGCAAGCAATATTAAGAACTGCAGGAAATGTTGAATGTACAGTTGACGTATTATACATTGTGTTGTTTGAAATAATACTTGAAGAAGTGCCAACTAAAAGAAGAAGACGCCAATATCATGCAAAACATCCGTTTTTATTACAACACGGAACTGAAAAATTTAAAAAAATCTAAAGCAAAAAGTGCACAAATTTTATAAAAAAAAAATATAATAGCTAAGAAACTTTGTCATACTAGACATTTGAGATCATTTAAATTTGGCGGTGAATATGGCATTTGAGGAGTATAATTTAAAAACTGAACTTGAAATAAAATCTTGTCCTAGCAACTTCTTTAATTATGTGAAAACCAAATTAAAATCTGATAATTTTCCATCAAAGATACATTTGGACGATAGGGTAGGTGAGAACTCGGATGATATATGCAATTTGGTTGCAAATTTTTTCCAAGAAATCTATACTACGTTTTCAGAATAGGACCATGACCGTAAATATTTTGGAACTTTCAAGTGACATCAGCGTAAGTCAAATCAAGGTTCATGATATCTTAAAGGGTTGAAACAATTTACATGCATCTAAAGGTCCTGGCCCTGACGGTGTTCCACCAGTTTTTATGAAAACTTTAGCAACTGAACTTACTGCTCCATTATTTTGGATTTTCAATATGTCACTGGAATCCGGAAACTTCCCTAAAATATGGAAAAACTCGTTTTTAGTGCCTATCTTTAAATCGGGAAAAAAAAATCTGACTTACGTAATAATCGTGGTATAGAATTATCTCTTGCATTCCGAAACTTGTCGAGGCGATTGTAAATGAAAAACTCTTTCTTTAAATTTAAAACAGCAGCCTTTAACGTTCAACAACTACGAATTTGTTCGAATTTATGAATTATCCTTGAATGCAAAGGATAACGGAATCCTTGTAGAAGTGTTGTATACAAATTTCAGCAAAGCGTTTGATCAAATGGACATACCCATGCTTCTTTTTAAACTTCGAAAATAGGAATTCATTACGCACTCCTCAAGTGGCTTGAATCATATTTAATGACCGCCATAAAATACAAAGGAAAGACTTCAAATCCCGTTGACGTCACTTCAGGAGTTCCTCAAGGCTCCCATTTAGGACCGCTTTTGTCAATGACATATCTCTCATTATTAAGAAATTGAAAGTTTTAATCTCTGCTGACGACATTAAACTTTTTTATGCCGGCGCCGGTGGTGTAGTGGTAAGCGTGACTGCTTTCTAACACCCCAATTGGTCTGGGTTCAATCCCAGCCGAGGTCGGTGGGATTTTTCTGAGGTATAAAAATCACTGGTCACGTCTTCCTTCGGAAGGGAAGTAAAGCCGTTGGTCCCGGCCCATGTGTGTTGAATGGGTGCGATATCCTACGCAGGTGTGGAAGCTGCATTCCTGCACATTCGATTGCCGTCAATGGATGGCAATTGATGTCCGTCGGTGATTGGCACAAGATTGCGGAACAGAGACCGACGTTAAATAAAGGAAAGAGGGACATTAAACTTTTTTTGGAAATAAAAGATGCCAAAGACATCAACACCTTCAAAGAGGAAATACAGACAGTGCTGTGGTTGTGGGTATTCGCAGGTAGTCGATGACTACTTAGCTCCAATCCAAAAAAAAAGTTTGCAAAATAGGTAAAATACAGCAATCTAATCCCATAACTAGCGTCTCTGATATACATGTTTAGGTGGAAATTGGTAGACAAGTTCAGGAAAAAATATCAAAATCGTTCAGGGAAAAATTGCAAAAAAATTATGTTCAATTTGAAATTGCTACGCGCCTAATAAACACGTTCGGGAAAAAATTTAAATTGTATATTTAAAATGGCTTGTGCACCTGGGAAACAACAAAAAATTGCTCAAAATAGTTAAATTTGAAGTGGCTGGTGCCCCTGGTAAACATGATCAAGTAAACATTTACAAAAAAAAAAATACACTAGGAGACACGTTTAAAGAAATTGAAAAATAATGTTAAATATTAAAAGGCAGCGCCCCTGGTAAATCAGGGTAGAATAAAAAAAATGCTAGTGCCCGTGGTAGATTTAATGAGGGGAAAAATAACTGGAAATGAATTGCGCCCCTTGTAAAACATTTAAGGTTAAAATTGATAATAATCTTTAAATTTGAAACGGCTAATCCCCTGATGAACACGATCAAAAAAAAATTCAAATCAAATATTTTTAGTTTTTAAATGAGTTTCTGGTAGACAAATTAAAAACAAAAATACGTTAAATTTGAATAAACCTGTTCAGGGAAAAAAAACGTTCAAAATCTTTAAATTTAAAGTGGCTAGCACTCCTTATATACACGTTCAGGATAATATTAAAAAAAAAACATTAAAATTTCAAATGGCTTCATTTCTTCATCCTCTGCAATAAGCTCGACGCATCTACGTTACGTTCTTGGGAACAGGAAACGCGTCAGAAGGACGACGTAAGCTACGATGAGTTGATTGAATTCCTTATCCAGCAAGTTCGAATGCTGAAGTCCGTATCAAGCGATCTACAACATCGCTCTCAAGGGACTAGCATCAAGGTGGCCGGTCCAAACCCGAAGAAATTGTCCACATTCAAGTCCGTTGTCAATGCTGCTACAAGTGAAGTCAAGTCGAACACTCTTCATTGCCCTGCATGTTCCGAGAAGCATCTGCTACACCAGTGTTCAACATTCAACAAGCTGTCCGTATCCCAACGACGAGAGTTGGTAACCCAGCGAAGCTTGTATTGGAACTGCTTTCGTTCTGGTCATCAAGCGCGGGCCTGCAAATCCAAATTTAGTTGCAGAACCTGCCAAGCCAGACATCACACCTCGCTGCACGACGCAGCTCCGAAGAAGACAACTCCTGCCGTACCTTCGAATCCTCCTATGCAACAACCAGCTCCATCCACGTCAGCGCACGCGGGGACCTCTGGATCAGCGCATCCACCAGAAGTTAGCATGGCTATCCAATCGAACCACAGCACGGTCCTACTGGAAACGGTTGTTCTAATCGTCGTCGATCAACACGGCAAGGAATTCACCGTACGAGCGCTCCTAGATTCTGCATCGATGTCCAATTTCATCACCAAGCGGGTGGCATACGCTCTTGTCACGCAGCGTACTGCAGTAGACGTCGTTGTATCAGGACTAGGAGAATCCGTCAAGCAGATCAAACGTCAAATCACGGCTACGATCAAATCGAAAACGAACACCTTTTCCTCCACACTCGAATTTCTCGTAATGAAGAAACCATCTGCCAATCTTCCGACTATCGCCATCAACACAGCTGCGTGGAACTTACCAAGCGTTCCACTGGCCGATCCGCACTTCAATATTCCGGGCATGATCGATATCATCATCGGTGGGGAATGCTACCACGAAATCCACACCGGTAACCGCATAGCACTCGGGAACGGTCTACCATTGCTGGTCGAAACACACTTCGGGTGGGCAGTTTCTGGAAAAACGTCCACCAATTCCGCTGTTGCACCACCAGCATGCTACATATCAACCACCGACCGATCCCTCGAATCAGCGCTTCAACGTTTCTGGGAGCTTGAAGCCGTCGATAATGGCCCGACGCATTCCTCAGAAGAGAAACTGTGCGAAGAGATCTATGCCACTACTACCACTCGAACTCACGATGGAAGGTACGTTGTACGCCTTCCTCGGTCCGAAGATCCGCAAGTCACACTCGGAGAGTCCCGAGAAATTTCCACACGCCGCTTCTACAGCCTTGAGCGCCGCCTTGAACGAGATCCTGCCTTGAAGAAAGCCTACCACGATTTTGTGGAAGAATACCTCCGCCTCGATCATATGCGCAAACTCGATTCTGTTGACGACGAAGTTCCGCATTGTTATCTGCCGCATCACCCGGTATTCAAGGAGAGCAGCACCACCACAAAGGTACGCGTGGTGTTCGACGCTTCCTGTAAGACCTCCTCCGGAATGTCACTCAACGATATACTCCTCGTCGGCCCAGTTGTGCAGCAGAATCTCGACACCATCCGCTTCCGTTTTCACGTTGTTGCCATTGTGGCTGACGTAGAGAAAATGTACCGTCAGATTTTCCACTTTCCTGCTGATCAACATTTCCTACGCATTCTATTTCGTCGAAGGCCATCAGATCCAATCGACACATACGAGCTCCTCACGGTTACGTATGGAACATCCTCCGCCCCGTTCTTGGCAACACGTACACTGCAGCAGCTAGCGAAAGACGAAGGAGACATTTACCCGGAAGCAGTAGAAGCTGTCGTCGAAGATTTTACGTCGATGATCTCCTTACTGGCGCAGACAACTTGGAGTCTGCCATAGAAAAACGTCGTCAAATATCTGCCATGCTCGCATCGGCTGGTCTACCGCTGAAGAAGTGGGCTTCCAACGTTCCTGAAGCTTTGGCTGACATCCCGCCTGAAGATCTGGCGATCAAACCTTTCCATGATCTGCAAGATGACCAGTCAGTATCCACGCTTGGCCTTGTATGGGATACGAAGACGGATATGCTCCGCTTCAACGTCGATCTTCCGCTACCAGCACCGATTCTTACGAAAAGAAAGGTAATCTCGTACATTGCCAAGATTTTCGATCCGTTAGGCCTCGTTGGACCCACTATAGCCACTGCCAAATTGTTCATGCAGCGACTTTGGAAACTAAAGAACGAAGACAACGCACCCTACGAATGGGACCGCCCGATCCCGCAGAAGCTACAGGATGAGTGGAAGCAATTCCATGCTACGCTTCCCATCCTGGCTGACATCAGAATTCCACGCTTCGTATCTTTGGCCGCCGTTTCCAAGGTTGAGTTGCACTTCTTTTGCGATGCATCAGACGCTGCCTACGGAGCATGCTGCTTCATCCGCTCGTTGAACAACGACCAAGTAAAGGTTCAATTGCTGACATCGGAGTCAAAGGTGGCACCCCTTGCCACGAAACACACTATCGCAAGACTTGAGTTGTGTGCAGCCGTTCTTTCCGCGAAGCTGTATCAGAAGGTTGAACACGCAATCAAGTTATCTACCGATGTCTACTTCTGGACAGACTCAACCACAGTCATTCAATGGTTGCAGTCACCGCCGAATCGTTGGAAAACATTCGTTGCGAATCGTGTTTCCACCATCCAATCCAACACTGAAATTGCCGCTTGGAGACATGTCCCAGGAGTAGAAAACCCAGCCGACGAACTATCTCGAGGATTGCAGCCCGCAGACTTAGTCAATCAGTCCAGATGGTGGAACGGACCGAAGTGGTTGTGGGAATTTCCTGCGCACTGGCCTGTCTCGAATGTTCCAGAAGAAGAGTACATTACCGTCATCGAAGAAGCTCGGAAGGTAACTTTGATATCGCTCAATGCTGACGAACAGTTTGCAAATCAGCTATTCGCTCGTTTCTCTAACTACACAACTCTTCGCCGTGTAGTAGCGTACTGCATGAAGTATATCAAGGCATTGCAAGCCACAGTACGTAAGTCCACCAAATCATCGAACATCATTCTCACGACAGCTGATCTCGTAGTCGCCGATCACACGCTAATTCGACTTGCTCAATCGCAACTCTACTCGGAAGAGCTAGCTGAGGATTTTTGGTGCCAGCTTTTATTTCCAATTTTAGGGTGCAAAAACGGACTGTTTTCTCAAAACGTCGCCATATTTTTATTTTTCAACCAAATCAAAAACGGCTACGTACAAGACTGGGTCATCTATCATTACTTCACAAAACTGTGGAAAGTACTGTATTAAATCTCTTAAGTTTGCAATCATTTCCTCAAGAGCTGAATCACTCTGTAATAATTGAATCACTACAGAAAAGTTTGGAATCACTTCAGAAAAATCGGAATCCCTTTGGGGTGCACAGCATCATTTAAAAAAAGTTCAAAATCTCTTCTGAAAGTACTAAAACACTTTAGAAAATTTTGGAACCGATCTGAAAAGTACTGAATTACTGCAGAAATGCTTCAGAAAGTACTGAATCACTTCGGATAGTACAGACATAATAAAGCATCAGAATGATTAACCGCTCGCGGTTGCTACCCCGTTATTACCAGATTATCTGTACTACACAGAGAAGCAACTAACGATGCGTAGGACTAGCATGCATTTGCAATGTGTAAGTACTGGTGATCTCATACTAACAGCGCCAGCCGCGTCCAAATGTAGGCTAATTAGTGGATGGATAAGTGATTCTCACTTTGTTGGAAACCGAGAAATCCTCCTCACTTCCATGAATTTTTATTAGTTTTTCAACAGGATTCACTTAAGGGAGTATTGATTCTTATCGCTAGCCCACATTAGTACTCAATTGTGACTCATCGAAAAAGTTCTTGATTTTGGCAGTAAACTCTCCACAACTCGATGTCGATGCTCGAAATCGAGTTATAGAACCATGGTAAACATGAATGTCATGGCTACTGCGATAGGGAATTTGTATGGGATTCTTATTCTATAACTCGATGGTCCCTCCAATATCGAGTTGTAGAGAGTGCACTGTGGTTTCGTTTCCTAAAACGAGATCTATCTGTACCTTCATAACATTACATTAGGACAGTTCGGAAACACTTTGGAAAAGTTCAGAATCACTCCAGACAGTACTAAATCACTTGAGAAAAGCTTAGGACACTGGATCCGTGTATTCAGCTCATGAAATATTTAATAGCTTCAGAAAATCTTGAGTTCAGTAGAGAAAATGTTGATTTGCTCAAGGATAGAATGGGTTCAGAAAGTGTAATATTTTCTGGATTATTTAATACTTTCGGAAGTAATTCCACGAGCTCTTGGGAACGTTTGAAACAAGAATCTGATTGATTTGATATGCGTAGCTACGATTGCGTTATTGACACGCACAAATGCTCGAGGAGTTTGGGATTCCACTTTTGCTAAAAGTAACAAAAGTTGGGTTCACGCGGTTTCCTAGATAAAAGTTTCCTTTACGAAAGTAATATTCTTGTACAAGTTCTTGTACAAGAGCCAAATGGGATATGCCATTTAGCATTAATCCACATAGATTTATCATTGCTGTTCTATTATGCTGTAGATTGATTTATGCTATCTTAACAATAATCATAATTGAAAACTATTCACAAATGCACCACCTCCAGCATAAAGTTAACAGCAACGTAGAAAGCAAATTGGTAATTATTTGTAAAACGCAAGAGGTATTCTGAGTTGAACGTGGTATTATTTTTCATAAATTTAGGCATCACCATATCCATAATCTTGCCCTTATTTAGCCTCGTACTAAAGACTTAAGAAGGTTGACTGAGTGCCTCGGAGAAACAAAGTTCCGTTGCGCCATTGCTTTGGTTAGCGCAGTAAGGGCTTCATACTGTGGAGGTTTTGATTTGGTTACTTACTAGTAGTTTTGGGAACTTTGTTTGGCCCGAGGGGGGTGACACATCTAAATCTCAATTGTAGATGCACAAAAAATCTCACACTAGCGAATAAATCTTCGGAAAATCTTCTCTCATTTCTCGCATCTACTTGCATCGCGCATCATCTTTTTGGAGGAAATCTTCAAAATCGTGATAAATCTTCTTTCTATCTACTCAGCGTACGCGCAGCTAGCCACAGCAAAACACAATATTTCCTGCATCGTAGATAGAGTCGTCCCCCTCGGTTTGGCCCAAGATTTTGCCCACGAATGTTTAGGACATTTTTTAGAAATTGTTCAAGGTATTTCCTGACATTTTGAGAAAGTAAAGTATGATATGAGATAAATAAGAAAACAAAAGATATGGTGCTTGGAAATGTTGACAGAACTTTTGGAAATTAATCACAATTTCAAGAAGTAAGGATACAGGGACTTTGTAGATGTTCAAGGAATATTAGAGCGATTTTTCGCCCCTCGGGTTTTTGTTGTGTGGCAAATGCCACCTTCGCCACCTGTAGAGTATGGTGCTGCTCATCATGCAGCATCGATAAAGTGTAAATGATTTGCAACGTACCATATCAACTAGATAAAACACAATTTAAAACAACGTCATCAACGTCAGGGGCGGCCGCATCGTTATTTTAGGCAGATTTATATTTTAAGGGCGTAGGTCAATATTGGGTGCGACTACTTAGCTCAAATTTTAGGAATACAGCACTGAATACAGATATTCCATACTTGGTGTCAAAAAAGCCTGCTACAATTAAATATAAAAAAAAAATGTAACTAAATTACCATTAGTAGAAAATGAATCACACCCGATATAACAATCACTTTAGGAAAGCAAATTGTAGAAAAGTGTGGTATAGTCAGGAATCTAGGTGTTATTTTGGACTGAAAACATGCCTTCACTGATCATTATAACACAATTATTAACAGAGCTAACAACATGCTTGGTGCTTCATAACACGTTTCTTCTATAACTTTCACAATCCATATACGATAAAAACATTGTACATTGCTTATGTAAGGTCGATATTAGAATATTGCAGCATAGTTTGATCTCCTTTTTCAATCACACTCGAAAAAAAATAGAGCCCGTTCAAAAGCAGTTTCTATTGTATGCCCTCCGCAAGTTAGGTTGGACTGTATTTCCTCTGCCATCCTACACAGCTCAGTGTATGCTCATAAATATCCAAACATTAAAAGAGCGTCGTGAATTTGCTATGATAGTTCTATAGTTGATAGTTCCGTTAGAGTACGGCCGTGTGAAGATTGCATATAGATATTAGAATAGCGAGCTAGGACAACTTTTAAGGAAGGTACAAATCGGTTTTGTCCCCCCCCGCCAACACTGGCAAAAAGAGATGAAAACTGACCCGCTCAAGTACCAACGGTGTGTTTGAAACAGTTCTAGGGGAAACGCTCCTATAGTTGCGGTACGTTAGAAGCGTTAGGTTCCTATAGTTGTGTATGGAGACTCCGTACACAACTATAGGAACCTAACGCTTCTAACGTACCGCAACTATAGGAGCGTTTCCCCTACCGATTTTTTACCGCACTTCACTGCCCATAATCGCAAGTCAGTCCCATCTGTAAAAAACTGGAAATGAGAAAACGGCGTTCAAAGATTTTTCAAGTTTTCTGATTTGACACCTATTTTGGAGGGATAAATTTAAAAATAAACGTACAATGTGATAGAATGCATCTATGTTTACCCAAAAATATTGGAAAAATATCGTGATATTTTTATTTTATGGCCAAAATCTGAGTGGGGCTGACTTGCGATTACATTTAACGTCAATGTGAAAAATAACCGCAAGTCAGTCACAATTCCATGCCGATGCTGCATTAGTTTAGCACAGTATTGAACAGTAGAAAGATACTATGGTCCCATAGAACGTTATTGAATGTTTTTGGATTTGTTCCGCTGGTTCCAGAGCAATGGCCGGAACATGTTCCGGTGAGTATGGGTCTTCATCAGACCAGAGCCAAACGTGCCAAACCCACCATGCGATAAATCAATTCACATGAGAATTCAAAAATAAGATCAATAAGAGTCATGATGAGTGACCAGCACCATGTTGGCCACACCCGGACATGTTCCGGGTATACCCGGGGAAGTAGCAAATCCTTTTTAATTAAAATCCATCAAGCGATACATCAAATCACATGATAATTCAAAGCCATATCCATTGGCGGTCAAACTGAGTATCGTAAGAACTATATTGGCCACATCCGGACATGTTCCAGATACCCTAGGGGAAGTGGACAAAAGCTGTATTGAGACAAATCTCATGATGCGATGTGTTGTTTAACATTTCTGATATATTTTTTTCATATGGGACTGACTTGCAGTTACTTTTCGCTGTGGGACAATTTGACTTGGTATTGTTTTTCAGTTTTCTTGAGCAAACCACATTTTTTCAATAGCACATCTCAAAAAACATAGAATGATAAACTGAATAATGATGCTAACTCAAAACTGATAAAAATGCAGATGGGACTGACTTGCGATTACCGGCAGTTCAGTTGTTATCTGAAGGAAGGCATCCAGTCGTAGGTTTGGAAATTGCAACTACCACGATATGTGCTCTTGTCATCGTCGTCTTGACGATCTCGAGGGGACACGGGTGGGGTAGGTGCTGCTACTGTACCTTTCGACCATTGACAGTGAAATAAAAAAAAAATCCTCGCATAACGTCAGCTAGAAGTATTTTTTTTTACTTGTTCTCAAGGCATACTATAAAAAATATAAACAAAGACAAAATTGTAAAAATAGCACTTAAGACAAAAATTGTAAAACAGTCTACACTGATTGACGACAAATAAAAAAATAAAAAATTAGGCTTGATCCAAATTGTAAATAGAAGATAAAAATGGCACTTTTGGCCAAAAAAGTTTCGGCAAATCTTCATCCAAAAAAAAAATAAAGAATAAAATGATTAGCGAATTAGTATGGAATTCGATAAATCACCGTTTTCGGCAAGAAGGCTGAATTTAAAGCAAAACAGTGTCTTCCGGAAGCGGAATAAAAATCTCATATTAAGAAATATTTCTAACAAATGACTCTATGAACGAAGATTTCCCAACCTAATTGCCACCGCTTATCAGCTTTATGGCACAAATTAAATCTCAATTAAAGTCATAAAATTCCGCCGCCAGAAAAAAAAAAACCAACCGAATGAGTACGAGAAACATGAGCCAGAAGCGCACGATTTGGCATCTGGCAATAAAATTCATTCCATTCCATAACTCATGCTTCTTTCTCTCGCTCTCTCTCTCTCTCTCTCTCTGTTCTGTTCCATTTCGAATTATGACGATTCCGAGTCACATTAATCGCTCGTATCGGCAGTAGGTCCGTTGCGTTTGTCCGTCTTCTCTCGGTAAATGAAAAGTGAAATTTTCCCTTAGGAACTTGATCAGTACACAGCAAAAAAAAATGTAATATCGATCAACGTAATTCAAGCTGATGTATGAAATAATGATGTAATAGCAAAAAGCAGATACAATATTACATCAATGGATGTAATTTTGTTCGCAAAATCGATGTACATCGTACAATGTGATATTACACAACCGATGGATTGACCTGGTTGCAGCAGTTTCGATGTAATATTCAACAACTTTTTTTGCTGTGTAAAGTCGGAGAGAATAAAAAGTTCATTGGAATAGTGAAAACAGTAGTTCGGATCATGCACCGCGTGAAAATAGCATTCTCAAGTGGTTTTACTAACCTAACCACCAGTGTACATTTCTTCGCATTTGGTTATAAATAATAGACGATACAAATTGGGTTTTTAATATCTGGACAGATGACTGCTGTCGGTTCCTGTGGATTCATAAAGATATCAAATGTTGGTTGCTTGCTCAAATAAATCATACATTTTTTTTTCGATTTTTGATTAGCTACGAAGGGTAAGCTGCATTGATGATGAGCTTGCTCAAATGACAAATTGTTTACCAAAGAGAACACACCGAAAGTGTTCAGGAAGGGAAGATAGGCAAAGAACATGAAAAGCATATGTCACCGTCCTGGATGGTGCAACTGCATACTTTGTGATGCAAATAATCGGCGCCACTTCACTTTAGCATATGCATTCGTCTTCGACCGAGTATGTTTCGGAAAACCTTTTAACCTTTTTCTTCTATCTCGATAATTTATGGGTCGCAGTTGTCCCCGAAAGAGTTCAAAGTTCTTCACAGTAAATGCAACATGGATCTAACTTGCACTGAAAATTTCACGAACGAGCACTCCCTCGTCGGGTCAGAATGCGCAGTAGCGGAATTTTCACTGCGTTGCCGTCAGCCACCATCGACAGACGGGACTGGGAAACATCACGTAAGCTCCACCCTCAACTGATTCGAACTTGTTTACCACAGTCAACCAATGGAACCGGGTCATAAAATGCTCCGATAGGTTTTATTTTCACTGGTTCATCTTTCACCGCAAGCATTGCGTCAGGTTGACGAGGGAAATTTTGTTCGATCATCACTAGTATCCATACAAACATCTGCTAGTAATGGAAATTGTCCAATTTGTTTGATTTGTTGTGCGCCTGGCGGCGCTTGGCCTGCTGGGATTGTCAGGACCTCCAGAGGACCACAGGCAGCCAGACGACAAGCAGAACAAGGGTGTACTTTGATTCTCAATTTTCGTGTAAATATTTTCCCGAACAGTTTTACGACGCAAATATTTCATGTTTTCGTGTCTAGACGGAGTGACACTGCCGAAAGGACATGACAATATATATGGACCGATGTTGTTTTCAATCCAAAGTAAACGACAAGGATCGCTTTGTAATTCGATGCCTTCGTGTAACAATGTTTTTCCTTGTTCGGGAGACAAATTTTCAAGTGAGCTGTCAACGTTTTGCTAGTGAATTTCTAAAACCAGTGATCTGTAGGTTTTTTTTAAATGTTCAGTATTGATTGTATAAACAATGTCTTCAAATGCTGATTTATCTACCTATTTTATATCTGTTGTTGTTTACAAACGTCTTAACGATTTAATTTAAGTCGTTAAACATTTCTAGCTAATAACGCCTCATTTTCGCTGGCAACACTTTACAGTTCGGCAAATTCGTATTTTGTCAGCGGAGTTAATTACGTCGCATGTCGCAACTTGGGCTGACGAGCTTCAGTTTAGTAGTGGCGAATATCCATGTAAAATTCCACATGATTTTCATGTGTCCACACATAAACAGAATCCACTCAGAACTACACATGAAATTTATGAGTCAAATGAATAGTATGTGTGGCTACACATGAATTTTATGTGTACACATTAAAACTATGTATGTTAACGACACATATATATCATATAATTTTATTAATTTATTTATTCGTCACCGTCTCCGACTAGTCGTACAGACTGAACTATTTTACTTATAAACTAGAAATTACTACTAATCCTATTTCTAAAAACGTTTTTAGTCAAGTTAAAATCGAATTCGTCACAGACAACATTGAACAAGCGAAGACACGAATCAAAAGGGTTGTTGTAGCCGTAGTTTGTTCTGTGGTATGGGACTGCTATTAAGGTCTGAGGTCACGATCCGCCATTTTTGATGGTTTTTTCGAAAAACTAGTGTTGAAAACCCAACTATCTCGAATATGGTAAAGATTATCGCAAAATCCAACTGACAATCGTTTCTAATTATGCCAAAGAATATTCTGTGGAATTGTCAAAGTTGCAAAATATTCATTAAAATTTACTTGAATTCCTAAATTGGGAGAAAATCCTTGAGATAATCCTCTGCCATTGTCTCTGAGCAGAAGAGAGAATGGAGCATATACCATAAAGTGGACCCTACACGATTACTTTTATTGACAATAATCGTATTGTCAATACATTCGATATTGACGTCAATATATCGAGATTGACAATATTTCTGAATTCACATCATCAATATTGATGATGTGAATTCATAAATATTGTCAATCTCGATATATTGACGTCAATCTAGCATGTATTGACAGTACGATTATTGTCAATAAAAGCAATCGTGTAGGGTTCACTATAGTCGAGCAAGTACTGTGTTGCCAGTGGAAGGCTATGTTTCTTTTTCACACTTTGATGACCCGCAATAATGCTGTAAATGCAGCAGCATTAGAATCTTTTCGAGTATGTGATCAATGTATAATATGCAATTTATCAAACCATTTTATTAAATTGCGTTTATGTGAAAGTAAAATAGATATGTTGGGGAAACGGTTCACGGAGTGGCAGGATGTGGCCAAACTGGACCCTACTCTTCAGCATGCACCATGCACTGGTTAATTATTCATCGATAGATGAAATTTCACTCCACAGTTTGAACTTCACTTTATTGTTGCTTCCACGCACTTACAAAATAATTTCAAATCTTCACTTCTTGAGCTACTGATAAGGACTGTGTATTTTTATTACTGCTACGGTCAACTTAAATCTAATAGGAACAGCTGATTATGTGCATGTATTGAAAACTGCACGAAATAATTGAAAAGCGATAGCTAACCTAACGAAGAGTTCACACTAGAGTTGGATTCTGCTTTTAGCTATATATACCGTTACACAACATCGCCGCCACCTTGAAATGCTCAATTTCAAAACTCTTGTAATTCAAAATCTAGTACTACATTTACCCGCTACCAAAAACTAACATAATAAGAGAAACAAAAGAGAACATAATGTAAATAATGTGTCACAATATTCTTCTTCTCCTCGGTGATGACGTTTATGTTGCTGCTACTCTCACATCCTGTCCGTCAACGATTGCTACGCTGTCATCTCGTTCGGCGTCATTTCGATTTTCATTTGCAACGGGAACAATCTCTGCATCGGAAGGAAGCAAACAAATTTTCGTAATCGGCCGCTTGATGATACCACGAGAAGTCTTCAGGGTCACCACACGAGTCAGCTGATCCTTGCCTGGATGGACATCGACGATGCGGGCGAGAGGCCATTTCACTGGATGCTGCATTTCATCAACGACGATTACGAGACGCCCAGGCAGAATAGCATTGTTCGGCTTGCCATATTTTGTGCATCGCTGCATCTCCTGCAAGTACTCCAGCCTCCAATGATGCCAAAACTGTTGGAAATTTCGCTGTATGGCCTGGTAGTGACTCAGCATACTCGAAGGATGTCTTGTGAAATCCGGCTCCGGAACTGCGTGCATCGTTGACCCAATCAGAAAGTGCGCAGGAGTTAGGCACGCCAAATCGTTGGGATCTTCCGATAGAGGCACAAGTGGTCGGCTGTTCATCGACGCTTCGATTTGTGTCAGCAGTAGAGTCGGTGTATAATGAGTCACGCCAAGAGAAAAACAGTGGAACTCGCATCACGGTTTTTGAGAGTTTCCTTCCCTTTCACTTGGCAACAGAGGACTTGTGCATCAACTTCAAATGACTTCTAGCGAGAAATTAAATTACCGGCTGCAGTAAATTATTATATTAGTGATTTTGGCGGATTAAATCAGCAACTTATATTACAAATTCTCATTACTGATCATTACCATACGAATCTAATTACAATTTAAATTCTCACTGCGTGTTTATGGTCATTTCTTCGATTAAATTTTATATTTTATTTCAATACCTTTCGTTTAGCTTTCATAGCATCGTAATGTTTATTTATTTTGCACGATAGGTAGCCAGTTTGACAGTTCAATAGGTAGACTTGGCTTCACTCTTGGCGTGACTCATTATACACCGACTCTAGTCAGCAGCGTCGTCATTGCTTCGAACGAAAGTCGAGAATTTCCCAGCTGACAGTAAAGATGTTTTTTGGCAACCTTCACTGCAGCCTCCCATAGTCCACCAAAGTGAGGCGCTTTTGGTGGACACAAATGCCAGTTGATTCCTTCATCGGTGCAGAAGGTATGCATTTCATCAGCTTTCTTTTCTCGTTTTAGCAGACGGTGAATTTCCTCCAGGTCATTTTTCGCTCCTTCAAAATTCTTGCCGTTGTCGGAGTAGATGTCTGTTGGCCGGCCTCGACGCGACGTAAATCTGCGCAATGCTGCCAGGAAAGCTGGGGTCGACAAGTCTCCTACCAGCTCTATGTGCACCGCCTTGGTACAAAAGCAGACGAAAATGCAGATGTACGCCTTGGTTGCAGGTGCTCTTTTGTGGTTCGGTTTGAGGTATAACGGTCCCGCAAAATCTACACCGGTTACGCTGAATGGACGGCTGGGACTGATGCGGTGAACTGGAAGCTGTCCTAGTTGCTGGGTGGCTGGAACGGGACTTGCTCGGGCGCAGCGAAAACATGCACGGATAATGCTCCTGATGAGTCGTCTCCCATTCGTTGGCCAGAATTTCTCCCGCATGGAGGCCAGTGTGAGTCGGCCGCCACCGTGAATTAGTTGTAGATGGTAGAATTTGGCAAGAAGGCTTGTGTATGGGTGAGGATTCGGTAGGAGGATAGGGTGTTTGTTTACATAGGGCTGCTCTAACAGGTTCAATCTCCCTCCCACTCTAATTATGCCTTCAGGGTCGAGAAAGGGGCTTAGTAAGTGAATCGAGGACTTCTTCGAAACGGTGTTGCTTTTGCGAAGGTCTTTGAGCTCTTCCTTGAAACCATCGGCCTGAACTTGCTTGACGAGAACCGACTGGGCAGCGGTAAGTTCGTCTCTTGTAAGCAGATTACTGAGACGTTGACCCGCACTGGGGGGCTGCTTACGAATCCTTTCACGACAGTGGCGGACAAAGCGAAGGCAGTAAGCGGTTACACGGTTTATTGCAGTGTGCGACGAGAATCGGATGAAGTGCGGATTGATAGTAGATTCGGCTCTGGTTACTGCTACGACAAGCTTGCGACGCTCCTTTCCGTCCTCTGGATATTCAGGTAGGCTTTCACTTGGCCATTGCTGTTCGGGAAAGGACAACCAGCTGGGTCCGTGCTTCCACAATGCACATTCGACGAAATTGGTGGTATCCATTCCTCGCGATACCATATCGGCAGGATTGTGTTTGCCGGCTACGTGGTTCCAGCGCGCTCCGTGGGTAGCCGATTGTATTGCGGATACACGGTTGGCCACAAATGTTTTCCAGGTGTTGGGTGAAGCCTTGAGCCATTGGAGAGTGACTGTGGAGTCGCACCAAAAGTATGAAGCGGAAATGTCAATTTGCAGTGCTTCGGATACCTTGACGAAGAGCTTTGCAGCTAGATCTGCGGCACAAAGTTCCAATCGGGGAAGGCTGACGCGTTTCAGTGGTGCCACTCGGGATTTCGATGCTAGTAGATGAACAGCAACATTGCCCTGGGAGTCAACGGATCGAGCGTATGTGCATGCACCGTAGGCAGCCTCGGATGCATCGGAGAATGTGTGCAGCTGGATGGTAGCGTTTGGAAGCAACGCGTAGCGTGGTACCCGGAACTCGGAAAGCTTCGGTAGTTGTTCGGCATACTTCTCCCATTTCTTAGCGACCGATTCAGGAACCTCGTCGTCCCAGCCAGACGATTGCAGCCACAGGAGTTGCATCAGCATTTTGCCACGGATTACGACAGGAGAAACTATTCCGAGGGGGTCGAATAGCTGCGATATCCCAGATAAAATGCTCCTTTTGGTAGGTGGTCCTTGGGTCGGTCGAAGTATGGTCTCAAAACGGAACACGTCGAGTTCAGGTTCCCAGCTGATTCCCAATGCCTTGATTGTTTCGTCCTTGTCGAATTTCAGAGAGGACTGAGTTCCGATTTGGTCAACAGCTAGTCCTTGCAGCACTTCCAGACTGTTCGACGTCCATTTCCTCAAGCAGAATCCACCCTTCGCCATTAACTCTCCCAATTCGGTCCTCAACTGGATAGCCTCTTGAACCGACTGGGCACCTCCAATGAAATCGTCTACGTAGAATCCTTTCCTGAGTGCTGGTCCTCCCAGCGGATAGGCATCACCTTCGTCGTCGGCCAACTGCAGCAGCGTGCGCGTAGCGAGGAATGCAGACGGAGCCATGCCATACGTAACTGTCAGGAGACGGTAAGTTTGCACTGGATCGAATTTGCTGAATCGAAACAGTATTTCTTGGAGTGGTGTATCGTCTTCGTGATTCAAGACCTGGCGGTACATCTTCTCGACGTCACCCACAACCGCTACTGGGAAGGTTCGAAACCGAAGGCTGATATTAAGAATATCGTCCTGTACTACAGGCCCTACAAGTAATGCTTCATTCAGTGAGTGCCCCGTAGAAGTCTTGGCGGAAGCATCAAAGACGACACGTACCTTTGTCGTCGTGCTGGCCTCTTTTAGCACTGGGTGGTGGGGCAGGAAGCATTCCTTCGACTTGCTTGCTTCTTTCTCGGGAACCAAACGCATATGCCCTAACTCTAAGTACTCTCGCATAAATTTACAGTACTCTTCTTTCAGGTGGGCATCTCGGTCAAGCCTGCGTTCAAGAAGTTCGAATCGTCGTAGAGCGGTGGCCTTCGATTCTCCAACTAGCTCGTCGAAGTTGGATTTGCGTGGTAGTCGCACTACGTATCGTCCTTCGCTGTTTCTGGTAACCGTGGATGTGTAAAATTCATCACATTTCTTCTCCTCTAGTGAATAGGAGGATCGAGCTGGCAGTTCTTCGATTTCCCAAAATCGTTCCAGGCTTTCTTCGAGGGACATTAGTGAAACGGTCGTAACGGAGCAGGTGGACGCATCGTGGGCATTTGTGGCAGCGTGGGCGGTACCAGAGACGATCCAACCGAATACACTATCGACAAGCAACGGAAGTGAATCGGACAGTTGGATTCTAGCGGCAGTCTTGAAGCAAGAGAAGAAATGCGCATTGCCGATTATCAAATCAATCCCGGAGCTCTTGTGGAAGATTGGATCGGCGTAGAACAGGTCCTGGGGTAGATTCCAGTCTTCAATGGAGACGTCACGAGACGGAAGGTTCGGGATGACCTTGTTCAGAACCAAGAAGTCGACATCTAGGATGAATTCTCCTTTCCGGGAACGAACTTGCGTACGGACAGAGTTGCGAGCGTGTTGCGGCTTCTCTCCTACTCCATGGATCAGAACATTCACCTTGTTTCGCTTTAGCCGCAGAATTTGAGCTAAATTTTCGGAGATGATGTTCGGTTGGGAAGCGCAATCCAAAAGAGCTCTGGCAAAATGCTCTTCACCATAACAGTCGACGATTTTCAGCAGTACGGTGAGCATGAAAACGTTTCTACCGCAACTTTGCATCGGGATACTGCACACTTGCTTTTGGGATCTCACCAATGTCGATGCGGACAGCAACGGAACTGCCTCGGAAGCGGCTACGTTGGTTTGAACGGATGTCCTAGAAGAACTAACAGAAGAGGAAGCGTTGACATTTGCGCTGGATTGTTTGGACCTATCCACGTAGGCTGCATGGATGAGGGAGTGGTGGCGTTTCTGGCAGAACTTGCAGCTGTACTTCGACGAACAATTTCGAGCGAGGTGGTCGTTGCGGAAGCAATTGAGACAGAGACGCTTGGCATTAAGAAGGTTCAACTTTTCGGAAATTGGAAGCTTTTCGAATTTGTAGCACTTTACTAAAGGATGACGTTGATCGCAGGCGTAGCACTTCATAGGAGAATTTTCGACGGCAGCATGGGACGAGACTTTAGTTGGAAACGATCTTTTCGAAAACGGAGGTTTGAATTGGGTTTCGGCTGGAACAGACGAATAGTGTTGGTTGACGGAAATCGATTCCAATACACGCATACGACGTTGCAGGAACTCGATCAGTCGCTCGTAAGTTACTGCGTCCAGAGTGGAAGCGTGATCCTCCCATGCCTTCAAGGTGTCATCGTGCAGTCGCGTACAGAGGATGTGCTCCAATATGGTACTCCACGAATTTACTGGTTCACCCAACTGACCTAGAATTTTGACGTGTCGCTCGAAGTCATCGACGATGGTATGCAAGACGGACGCTGACTCTCTCTTCATCTTTGGGCACTCCAACAACGCTTGAAGATGACGTTTCCTCAGGAGGTACTTGTTAGCATATCGGTTGACAAGAGCTTCCCAAGCGAGCGAATAATTAGCAGCACTGATTCCAACTGACTCGATTAACTGAGCTGCTTCTCCCTTGATAGCAGCCCTTAGGTAGTGGAATTTCTGGATGTCCGCCACATCCGGATTCGCATGGATAAGAGCCAGGAAAGTGTCGTGAAACGCAAGCCAGTCTTTGTAGTCCCCAGAAAATTCAGGCAATGAAATGGTAGGCAGTTTCAGACCCTTTAGAGTGTTAGCCCCAGAAGCAGTATGTTGAGGGAGATTGTCTTGCAGATTAATTGGAGGAGGAAGTTTAGAGCGTAAGAAGGATTTTATTTTAAAGGACAGAGTTTCGAAATTGGAACGAAACTGTAAGTTTCTCACCATGCCTTCGTTGGTGTCCTCCATGTCCTCCAGTTCCGTCTGCACTTCCTCTATTCCTTGAAGGATCACGTCAAGATTCTCCAATCGCAGATCGACCTCGAGCTTGTCCCGTTCCTCCTGGTACTGCAGCATGAACTTCTCCGCTCTTCCTAGAGACGCAAGCAGAGTGGTTCGCCGGGATGTCAGCACATGTTTCCGACGATCTTCCTCCATCGCGTTGAAGCGAGATGTGCGGTGACGATAGGTAGAGAGACACGTATCTGACCAAGGCGGACTTGTGCCTTGTATAGTTGTCAATTACTCAGCAGTACTCCGACTCGACGAGATTATTCCTCGGTTTGCACCACGGCGTGGTCGCAAGAAGTCCACCAATGTTGGACACACTGAAGCAGGCTGCTATTCACGGCCGACTTGGGACGGGATGTAAATTCAGTTTCTGCCACGGCGTGGACACAGAAAACCAAATGGCTGAACGTAATCCTCCTGAGCAGTAGCTAAGTACGTGTGAGCGTGGAGTTAAAATTGAAGCAATGGCGGATGCACTTGAGCTCCAAAGCGAAATAATCGGCATGTACATGCAAGGATAAAACACTCTAAAAAGCACCAGAAATCACTGTGACAATAGTTGGACAGGCAATTACCTTCTGCCTGATCTCAACAGGCCTTGTATTTAAAAAATATCTGGAACTAATCTCCACTTCCAAGACGCAAGGAAGGTTAGTGTCACGATGGCGGATGGCGTCACTATGATGGCACAATAGGGGTGGCTGTATGCCTATTCAGGCTTGGCTTTGATGGCGGAACACTCAATAGCCGAGATGACTACGATGGCGTCAAGATTGTTCCCAGGACAAAGAATGGAACACTGGTATTGTTCAGGACTTCGCTTGGAAAATGGCGAAGGTAGAACGGGCTTCTTTATCGCGCAGGAGTGTCAAAACGGTTGGCGACCTCTTGAACTGAATTGCCACTATCCTGGTCACGGCACCAAATTATGTTGGGGAAACGGTTCACGGAGTGGCAGGATGTGGCCAAACTGGACCCTACTCTTCAGCATGCACCATGCACTGGTTAATTATTCATCGATAGATGAAATTTCACTCCACAGTTTGAACTTCACTTTATTGTTGCTTCCACGCACTTACAAAATAATTTCAAATCTTCACTTCTTGAGCTACTGATAAGGACTGTGTATTTTTATTACTGCTACGGTCAACTTAAATCTAATAGGAACAGCTGATTATGTGCATGTATTGAAAACTGCACGAAATAATTGAAAAGCGATAGCTAACCTAACGAAGAGTTCACACTAGAGTTGGATTCTGCTTTTAGCTATATATACCGTTACACAACAAGATATTATCCCTCGGTCATTTATTACTACCATAAGCAGATACATAGATAAACATCCTATACGAGTTGGCCACATGGCTGAGTCTGATCCTTGAACCCGAGAGAATCTAAACAGAGAAGTATGGGAAATCTTTCTATATGGCGCGTTTAGTACTGTAAAAAACGCAAGGAAAAAACTGCTCGAATTTTTATTCCAAAGTTACGTAGCAAGTGTTTGGTGTCCGTTCATTTAATTTTTTTTTGCAAAATGGTTTTTTTTAAGAAAAAATCTGCTGTCCGTCAAGTGAAAAGGTATCAACGAGAATGCCAAGATACACAGCCAGTAGAAACGCCGTCACCAAAGCGTCAGAGACAGACATCTTCGGATGGTGAAATAAGGTAAGGTAGTATGATGATAATTCAACCAAGGTATGTCCAATTTCTGCAGTAACGGGACTCTGCTATCCCTAATAAAGTGTGTATGCTTATTTTGCTTAACGTCATGTTCTGGGTATCATCCAAACGATTTGTGGAATAGTTAAATTAATTGGGTTATCGTTCGGGTATGGTATTTTTTTAATTGGGGATGTTGGTTTATGTAACGATTTATATTTTTCTAAGACAATAGGTCTATGACCTGATTTGGAGTCTATTTTTATTTACACAAGATGATCAAATCGTCCTAGATTTTTTTTACTATTGTCACATGGGTGACAGGCTAAAGCCACGGGTGGTCCATCTCGTCTAATCGTTAAGATCACTCGATCTACTTGATCAACCACGACTGAGATAATTGCCATATCAGTGAAGCATGTTCAAGGCGTCATTCTATAATTTCGTAAGAAGTTAGGAGGAAGGCAGTGTTGGAAATTAGCTTACGTTGTCTTACATGGGAGGAAAAGGGTCTCAGAAATATCTTACACATTTATTTGTTTTGCCGAGATTGGCACCACCGAGTAGGTTGTCATTTTATTTTGCTGGATCTCAGTAAAAATAAATGCCGAGGTTGCTCAGCAGTGCCAATCTCGGGAAAAAAGCTAAGTGTGTAGACTTTCATGTTCCAAGGTAATTTTTTAAAAAAAGTTATGCTATTTTAATTATTTTCGCGATCTCCCAGCTTTTCCATTTCTGACTGAAATAATAATAAGTTAAATGGAATTTTAATTCTCATGATTTGTTCCAAATTATCGAATAGTTTTGTAAATATTTCAGGAGAACAAACTAAACAACTTATTTTTTTCACTTTGGCAACCACCCAGCTTTGCAATTTTAAATATTTATGAGTTAAAGTGAACCCCAATTCTCATGAAATGTTCAAAAAGTATTTGAGGTTATTCTGTGAAGATTTCAGCGCGTTTAAAACATGGACTTATAGGTTTCGACGTTTTGTTGAAAATAGTTATGCAAATTTAATTTATTTTAGAAATCATATAGCGTTGTATTTAAGATTGAAATATTTATAAGCCACATTGAACCTCAATTATCATGAGTTGTTTCGAATGTATTTGAGATTATTCTTTAGAAATATCAGCGTATTTGGAAAATAAACTTACTAGTGTCGGGGTATTTTTGAAAATAATTTGAATATATTAATTAATTTTAGTCATAACCCGAGAATTTCAATTTTAACTATTTATTAGTCAAATTGAACTTCAATTCATTTCAAAAATATTTGAGGTTATTCTGTAAAAAATTAAAAATATTGGGAGCATAGAATTTCATGTATCTGAGAATTTTCGAATATAGATACGCAAATTTAATTTATTTTAGAAATCACCCAGCTTTGCCATTTGTGATTTAAATATTTATTAGTCAGATTAAAATTCAATTCTCATGAGTTGATTCAAAACAATTTGAAATTATTATGTAATAATATGACATCCTTCCGATGTATTGTCAAAATATCTAGAGAACATTGATTGAAATCTTTAGAATAATATTAAACCCTCTCAAATATTGAACCCCCTCTTGTTAAAATATTCAGAGAATACATTGTTCAGGAATATGACCAACTGATGGTCTTTGGAATAATTCCTGGTCAACCTGCTGTCTTCTGACGGTATGTTCTCTAGATATTTTGACAATACATCGCACAGTGGCTTATTTCGAGCAAAAAAACAGACGCAATTCAGAAACGGGTTTTCAGCTTACGGAAGATAGTGAATCTTATGTAAAAAATTCCGGGGAATCTCATGGTGCCAACCCCTTTCCGAAAAAATGGCAGGAAACGTCCGATTTCTCCCTTTTTCCCCTATAAATGAGAAATATTTGAAAATATCGATCTATAACAATCTGCAACCTCGATAAAGACATTCAAAAACCATTGTACCTTACGTAAAAAAGTCTAAGGAATCGAATGCCAGTATCCTCTTTGATGTCAAAAATCTTAAAGTGGCCCAATTCACCCGTTTTCCCCTATAAGTTGAAATTTTTGGAAATATTGATCTATAACAATCCGCAACTTCAATAAAGATATTCAAAAACCATGCTGCCTCACGTAAAAAAGTCCAAGGAATCGAATAGCGTTATCCCCTTTCATGTCAAAGATCGAAAAGTGGCCTAATTCACCCGTTTTCCCCTAAAAATTGAAATTTTTCAAAATATCGATCAATAACAATCCGCAACTTCGATGAAGGCGATCAAAAACCATGCTACCTTACGTAAAAAAGTCCAAGGAATTGAATGCTGGTAACTACTTCAACGTCAAAGATCGAGAAGTGGCACAAATTGCCCATTTTCCCCTATAAGTTGATTTTTTTTTTAAATTTCGATCTATAACAATTCAAAACTTCGATAAAGACATTCAAAAACCAAGCTGCTTTACGTAAAAAAGTCCAAGGAATCGAATGCCGTTATCCCCTTTCATGTTAAAGATCGAAAAGTGGCCTAAATCACCCGTTTTCCGCTAAATATTGAAATTTTTTCAAAATATCGATCAATAACAATCCAAAACTTCGATTAAGACATTCAAAAACCAAGCTGCCTTACGTAAAAAAGTCTAAGGAATCGAATGCTGGTATCCTCTTTAATGCCAAAAATCTAAAAGTGACCCAATTCAACCGTTTTCCCCTATAAGTTGATTTTTTTTTTTAAATATCGATCTATAACAATCCACAACTTCGATAAAGATATTCAAAAACCATGCTACCTTACGTAAAAAAGTCCAAGAAATTGAATACCGTTATCCACTTTCACGTCAAAGATCGAAAAGTGGTCTAATTCACCCGTTTTCCCCTATAAGTTGAAATTTTTGAAAATATTGATCAATAACAATCCGCAACTTCGATAAAGACATTCCAAAGCCATGCTACCATATGTAACAATAAGTTGAAGGGATCAAATTCCGGTATCCTTTATACTGTCAAAGATCAGAAATCAAATCAAATGTTGCCCGCTCAAGACATTTTCATTAGAAATAATAAGAAGCGTTTTGACTTTGACTTTGCACCTGTGCAAAAATGTTATCAATTTTAATTCTTTTTTATCATGTAGTATCATCCTCATCGCTTTCCTCTTCACTCTCATTTGATTCATCATCGCCCATCTCCTCATCATCACTTTGTACATTGCTATCGTCTTCATCGGCCTTATCCCTATCATCTTTATCGGAATAGTAAAATGTCATCTGTCGCTCAAACAGCTCGTCTTTTATTCTTTTCCGTGAGCGTTCTGCTGTAACATCTTGATCAGCGTGTTTCGGGTCTGACCAGGTCAATGAGAGGCGCATCATGTCTTCCAAGTTGTTCTCTGGTGACGTTTTCCGAGAAAGATACGTTCTGCCATATTTGGACCGTTTATGGCACCTCTCACCGGCTTGTTCATCCGCAAAACTTAGAGGATATGGCTGAAATGGTTCAGTTATGAAATTAGTTTTTCTTACT